GCAGGCCCGGCGCGCTGGGGTGCAGGCTCTTCCGCCCCGGGGCAGCAATCGTCACACGTGCGCAGGATGGCGAGATCTGGGTGGGAAAAGAAAAAGTCACAAAAGAAATTTGCTCGCCACCATGCAAGATGGCGGCACTTCGGCATCTCTCTGGTGCCGGTGGTGACCCCGTCAGAGCCCTGGAGAGGCGGCGCGCCCCGGAGGACGCCACCAGCAGCGAGGGACGAGGAGTTGGTGCGAGAGAGCGGGCCCGGCAGCTGGAAAGGACTGAACGCCTTGTTTTTGAAACTGTCAATTCCCTCAACCCCTATTGTGAGGGCTTCATGCAAAACATCTCAGGCCTTTTAAAGTAGGAGCTTGTGAGGCCGCCACAGTTTGAAAAGGAAGGCGGCGCGCCCCGGAGGACGCCACCAGCAGCGAGGGACGAGGAGTTGGTGCGAGAGAGCGGGCCCGGCAGCTGGAAAGGACTGAACGCCTTGTTTTTGAAACTGTCAATTCCCTCAACCCCTATTGTGAGGGCTTCATGCAAAACATCTCAGGCCTTTTAAAGTAGGAGCTTGTGAGGCCGCCACAGTTTGAAAAGGAGCGAGAGAGGAGCGGGGGCCTAGGGCATGGGCGAAGAGTGATAGCTGCGCCCCCTCTTTTTTTTTTTTTTTTTAGTAAAAGAGGGCCTGCCAAACAGGTAAAACGCAGCCCTCCCCCACCTCCTCGATCTGCCCCGCGTCCCCACCCCCAGGCTGGTTTGCAAAATGCCCTTTGGCCTAAGGGAGCAAACCAAAACCAAAGCTAGCAATTAAAAATAGTTCTTCCTCGCAGGGCAGGGGAAAATGCTGGGATAACTGGGGTGACCCGGAGGACTCGCTAAGGTGGATGGCTGTTCCTCCTTGCCAATTTCCTGAGGTTAGCTGATGGAGCCTTTCCCCCCCCCCTAGTTTAGCTCTAGGAAATCCCTATTTTCACACCTTTTCAGCGAGAAGTTATTTTCAAGGTGAAGCAAAACTCACGTTTTCTCTGTTGTAGATTTTTTTTTAATTTTTTTAACCAGGACGATTTTTCTTTTGTTTTCTTTGAAGGAAAAAAAATGCCTTTGAAGAATTAGTTTCTCCTACATCTTTTCCTGCATGCAAACAAAACTATCATTCTCATATCAGCAGAAAATGAATTCTCAATCCAATTCTTGTTTGCCTAGAACTCTGAGGAATTTCTAGACCATTGGAAGTCACCCAGACAGGAGTAAGATAAAAATCCATACACCAGCCCATCTAGTTTGTGTTATTGCTGTTTAGTGGTGGCTCCTTGTTGTTGATTTTCAAATAAACAACCATTATTGAGATTACTCCTCTGTAATCAAGTAAGCCAGTAGAAAGGAACACCCACTCCAAAAAGTAAATACTTGCGGGGGGGGGGGCTGCATTTTCTACAAAGGCAGACAACCTGACTAAGAGAGCGTACATATTGGAAGTCACCCAGACAGGAGTAAGATAAAAATCCATACACCAGCCCATCTAGTTTGTGTTATTGCTGTTTAGTGGTGGCTCCTTGTTGTTGATTTTCAAATAAACAACCATTATTGAGATTACTCCTCTGTAATCAAGTAAGCCAGTAGAAAGGAACACCCACTCCAAAAAGTAAATACTTGCGGGGGGGGGGGGCTGCATTTTCTACAAAGGCAGACAACCTGACTAAGGAAGAGCGTACACACATCTCTTGAAAAAATAATTAAATATTCACAGTCTTCTCAGGAAATTACTTTTATGTAGCACCAAAAATAAGTTTCCCTAAAAAGTCAGAGAAAGAGGCTTTTCCTGTTGCCTGTGAATACTGACTGAGCTCCTTCAGACACAGGAATCACTGGCCCTGTAGCCACAGATCCCCTTCCCCCTCTTAAAATGCTATTCCCTGAAAACATTTAAATGTAAAAATGTAATCTTTCAATGGAGGTAACTTTGTTTTTCTCTCAATGAGGATTAACTTTTTAACAAATGGGACATTTATAGCAGCTTAGAAAAATTTAGATATTGTCATTAATCATAAAACAACCCATATAAATGGTACTGAGAATGATTCCCACAGCAGGATGGGAAAACAGCTAAGGGGCTACCAGGAATTGAAAGAATACCTTGTATTTGCAAGTTCCTGCGTTCTATTGGTACACTCTCCTGACCTAAGCCCCAACTCAGATTTTGCTGTGGTTGGCTGGCCTACGTATGGAAGGACTGTGGGGCAAAATTTGTGATTATTTAATTTCTTTCCTTTTGAATGGCATCACTGTGGAATGGGATGTGTCGGCCTCCATACTGCTTATCCTCCAGCTCTCATAAACTGGAACTATATTGATTCTCTGAGGACTGGAGAGCAAGTGTCCAAGCTGTAGGCTGATATTTTATGTCACAAATTCCATAGGGTGTATTTGTTTTAATTTGTGCTTATTCCATTTTACAGTCTTCCCACACCCAAGATCTGCAGACTTCAAGTATCTTCTCCATTTATAACTGAGGAACAGTGAGTCCAGAGCCAATGATGAAAGGACGGGTCTCAACACAGTAAGCACCGCACTTAGAACTTCCTTGACTTAGCAGTAATTAGAGAGTAAAAGTATGGACTTCCGGTGTATGTGGCGCACCTTGTCACAGATTGATTTTGCAGGACAGTGAGCTGTCCTGCAAATTCTGGATTGCCTTCCAAAGAGGCAAGGACTCAGACTAAGAAGCCAAGTCTGCTTCTTTTGCTCAGCTTTCTGGGGATTTAACTGTAACCTGGACTGGTGTTTGGTATTGTATATAAACACGGATTCAAGGGGAACATCCCTGAATCTTCGCTTTGTCCATCTCTCCCATTCTGATAAAAAGCAACCCAGTGAAGAAGCTACATCTGGCAACATTCAGGAATGAAAGGAGGGAGACACTTCAAAGCATCTGTTTACTCCATCCAAATGTATTCGGATGCAGGTATTCTCAGCCCCTGTCCTTTACAAGAGGAAAACCACAGCGCAGATACAGCAATTGGGGCTGAGACAATATCCCAGAGCTATCTGAAACATTTATAGACAAAAGGAAAATTTCAAAGGGAGTAGGAATTAAAGGGGGGGAGGGATAGACTGAATTTCCATGAGAAATAGTGACATAAATTCATACAGTAAACATCTCATTGGCATTTTGTTTTGCTTTGTGATTTATGATCTATAGATGCAACTTTGTAGTTTCAAGATGGCAAGGAGTTGAGATACATAATCTGTCAGACCAAGGGAGGTGGATCAAAAATTATTAAATTCAACTTTCATTAAAATAACAAGGGATCACTGCTCCACTTTCTGAAATCGGAAACTTTTAGTGCTTGATGGGCCACAAGTTTGTGAAGTTTTCTTGCTATTTAGGAAGAAATTTGCCAGTGTTATGCACAGAGCCTGTCTGGCCTCATCACAAAGTATTCCAATAAAACACTGCACCCCATAAATGCATTTCTTTCAGGCAAAAACATTACAAGTGAAAATGTCAACAAAACCACTCATTCCTATTAACCATCTTTCAATCTGGAATAAGTAGAAATGTATGGAACCAGGAATTTTAAACAGTGTTTTTAATTGAAAATAAAGCTAAAGCATGCTTTTCAACAGTGCAAATTTCCATAATTTTGATTTACTGCTTCATCATAACAACACAGTACACCAGAGTGGCCCTCACCAAGGGCCAGACCCTAGCCATTTGCATGTTGAACTACTTTGATTTTAAGTGCAAATATAGATAGTCACCTCTGATTGTCACTTGCAGTAGAAACTCTCCTGCTCTATACACAGGATGGTCTGAAAACAGAAGTTTAGAGAGATGCATCAAAAGTATAAGGTAATAAAATCCAAGTGCCTGAGTTCTGGTACCAAAAGCCCTGAAATAACTGTTATTTTCATTGGGGTATTACAACTCTGACCCCTCTTTTTCTTTTTCTTGGTTGTATTTACTATGGACACATAGGCCATAAAATATCCTGCTGCTAAGAAAAATATTTTAATTGTTTTGAAAGTTTGAAGAGTCATGTTCAGACCACAAGATAAGCAGGACAATAGTAAGAGTCATCTTATTTAAAACATTTGGGTGAGAACACAAAAAAGGACTTTTCCAATTGCAAGGAGCATCTGTAAAAGTAAAAATCACATCCTTTACCAAAAACAAAAAAGAAAAAGAAAAAAAAAACGATCCCATATTTTTTTTTACTTATTATGTATGAGGCAGCTTCTTATCAGCATTCCATGACTCACATCCCACTCTTTCCACTCAAAAAAATAAAGTTAAGTGCAACTACTCTTGGAGAATGAGGGGAGTAAAAAGAAAAAGACACCCCACAAACAAGAGCTCCAGGAAATTACATTTTGGGCTCACAGAGACTTCTTGCTACTTCACTGTCTGACCATGAAAACTAACAAACTTGCACTGAATTAACAGTTATACTTTCAGGTCTGAAATCTAGTGCATAAACTTAATGGCTCATTGTAATATTTATTATTCAACCTTTTGACATTTATTTATAGCAGTTGAATTGAGGTACCGGCGCATTATTAGCCTTGAAACAGTAAAGTGTTCCAGCTCTACCACCATAACTGAGTTTTACTTGAGTCTTTAGCCTGAAGTAGCCTGTGGTGCGTAAACGAACCCTTCTCCCACCCCACCCCCACCCTGCTCAAAAAAACAAAAAAAACCAGCAATGGAAAAAAAAAAGTAATCCGATTTCTGTCTTCAAAATGGGATAAACCAGGACTCCAAAGGGGGTGTAACACCATTAATGGACTTGTACAAACCATCCTGTGCAGTTTACAACAAAAGGAAGGTAATATGGTTCCAGAAAATATCTTCCCAAACATTTTTCACGAATTAAATTTCCTGAATTTGTGACTAGGTGGAAGAGGTATTGCAGAACCGCCCAGCTGCCATTTCCAGATAGGATGGGCCTTGTGAGGAGGTTGAGAATCCTTAGTGGTGTTTAAGGAATAGGCCGGCCACAAATCCCCATCCTTCCCGATAAGAAGTGACGGTGGACAAGGAAAATTTGCCATGAAATTAAATGGCCTTTTCACTGCTGATGCTACATTGCTGGCTACCTTTTTTCGCCTGTTTAGAGCTGTAAAGTCATCCAGTGTTCCTTCATGTGTCTCAGTTTTACCTGTAGGACGAGGGCTTCTAGCTGATTTCAAATTTGGTTTGAGTGGGGGTGTCTGAAGGACAGGTCGTTTTCCCAGTACTAGTGTCCGGTAATTTTTTCTCACCCTGGCACCAAATTTATATTCCCCATCCTCAGGTTTTGGAGAACCTAAAGTGCAGGAAAGGCCCTGACTCTGAGTCAGTGGGTCTAAGGAAGGAGGTTCTTTCTCAGGGCATGCAAACCCTTCCTTGGCTGTGGTTAAAAAGGTGTCCTCCTCTTTATTTTCAGTCACACTGTAAAACTCACCCTTTGTATCATTGCACTCGCACTTTAGCTTATTTGTAATAAGGTCAGGTTCATATTCTTCATTAGCACTACTGTCTTCTACTTTGATTTTAATATTGTGCAGAAATGGCAATGCCTTGTCGCCTGTGTCAGTGCAGGGATTCTCGGCTTTAGCTGCTGCTGTTGCTGTATGCACTTCGGGATCCGTTTGCGAGGAGGGCAAATCCATAGCAAATTCAGGACAATGAGGGATTTTGGAATCTTTTTCGGAATTTGCTGCTACTCCCGAAGTCTCGTTATTGAAGAACCTAGCAGCTATTGTGTTCTTATCTGCACAGTGTGTAGCAGGAGTTGCTGGTAGGCATTTCCTAGCCTCTCGGAATATTCTTTGTTGTGGAAATGCATTGTTTGTCTTTGGGCTAGGTGAAGAGGCTCCTTCTGCCAGGCAGTTAATTGTCAGGTCAGTTCTCTTTACAGTACTGGAAATTTCAGAGTGTGGGAATGTCATCTCAGATACCCTATCGTTCCTTATCTCTGGGAAGCAACTGCCCAGGCCGGCCGGGCAGTACACCGGAGACGCTTTGGGGGCCCAGGTCTGCAGATTCCACTCCTCGGGTGACTCCGCTTTGACACTGCTCTTGAGGTCGGGAAGTCTGCCGGAGTCCTCGAAAGCAGCGGGTTTGGTTGCGGCGGCGGAGGCCAGATGGTACAAGAAGTTGGCCTGCGCCTGCACTCCGGGCGGCTCGCAGAAGCTGGTGCGCCTGAAACGGATGCTCTGCACTGACACTTGACTGGAACCGGAGCTGGAGTCCGACTCGGTGGACGAGTCCTCCTCCTCCTCCTCCTCTTCCTCCTCCTCCTCCTCCTCTGAGCTGACTTCACTGGAATCCGAGGCCCCACTACCCCCCTCTTCCTCCTCCTCTTCCTCCTCCTCCTCTCCTTCCTCCTCCTCTTCCTCCGAGGACACAGAGTTGCTAGAACTGGACAAACTGGATCCGAAATCTGAGTCGTTGGCTGCATGATCCGAGTAGGAGCTGGACTCGGAGTCGCTGCTGCAACTCTCGGGAAAGCTGCCCGGATGGGGCTGCGGCCGGTGGTGGTGAGGGGGGTGGTGGTGATTCAGCGGAGGAGGCGGCGGCTGGGCCCGGTGGTGGTGGTGGTGGTGGTGGTGATGGTGGTGG